CCTTATTAGTAGGCAATTCTGGGCAAATTTAATGGCAAATAGTAATTGTACTGAATGAATCTGTAGGCTAGTATTAGAGTGAGGGCTTGGTATAGAAAAGATAGAGGATGTGTTAGAGTGGAAACAATAAATGATTCACTTCTTTGATTGTCCCAGATCCAGCAAAAGGGGACAGGTATGCTATTAGGACTTTGGAGGTTTCTTGCAAAGAAGACATACATAGAGTGAACTCAAGTCTGAACTTCTGAGTCAATAGCAAGTCTGTGCAAGACAGTTTTAGATGACTTCCAAAAATTAGATTTTTCTACACACACACACACACACACACACACTGTAGAATGACCCGAAAATGTGCAGAGGACTTTCTGGAATGATAGAATTCAATGTACTGGAGTTTGATCCAAAGCAAATTGGACAATACAAATGCTGGGAATTGTGATGTAAGTTTCTGTAAGAAAAGGATTTTCCCCCTTTCTTACAGTGTTAACCTTTTCGATGTAGCTACCTTGAGAGAGTATATTTATGTCCAAGGAAGCTTATTTAATTAAACTAACTGAAATGAATGGATTATTCTGAAAGAAAAGAGAGTTTAAAAAGTGAATGGTTTTTCACTACAGCTTTGTTTCCAAAAGTACACAATTACTGGACCACTGCCCTTGTGCATTAATGTGTCATAAGAATATATCTTGAGTGTTTCTGGTTGAACAAATGTTGAAGATACTGGTTACATACTTTCCCTTAAGTTGGTTTACAAGCGTTTGAATACACATGTGCACTGAAAAAGAAAGCCAACTGGGATAGAGACATACTGTCCCAATGCCTGCCATTCGGTGCCTAACACAATTGTCATTGTGTTTGTCACCTATTTTCTTTCACATGTGGGACATCTGTGAATTCAAACCAGTCAATTAGACTGGGTAAGGTTGGTTTAGCTTCCTGACCCTGTCTTCTGATCTGCAAAATGGGGGGACCAGATTGGATGGGCTTGCAGATTCTACCAAACACATCCTGTGTAACCCTCTCAAGAGGGGGCCAGAGCTAGTGAATAAGATGGGATAGCACTCGCATAAATTAGGTTAGTTTATACAGCAGAAGGGATTTTGCAGTTGTAATTAATGACAAAATTATAAATATGTGAAAGATCCTATGTGGTATTTTTGTTGAATTATTACACATTTAAGGGAAACTTATGGGTGTAATACTGCCAGATCAATTCTTTGTGTGCATGTGTGTGTGGTGCTTTGAAGGGGTGTGGAAACAATGGTGGAAAGAAGCATCTGACCAAGTCTTCATCAGACTGGAAGGGATATTCCTCCATAGGATTCAAGACAGCCAAACATCACTGGCCTTCTAAAGTCTATCCCTTGACCTGGGCACTAGAATTAAGAGTAGGGTACCAAGGAGGCAAGGGTGGGAATTCAAAGCAGGGGAAAGTTCAGGGAACTGATGATTGGCTTCGAATGAGGTGGGATATTCAGTACGATGGTCCCAAATGTGGAAAGTTCTAGGAAGCTGGGATGGAAGGTGGTGGGGGCAACATCAGCAAAGCCAAGGCCTGACTCTCCAGGGCTGCTGTACCCATATTATTTCCTCCCACTCATACTCATCCCGTGGCAGAGTACCTGGATGATCAGACTCAGAGATCAGGAAAACAGGCTGAAAGAGGTCAAGTAACATCCCCAAGTAACAGCCTCACGTGGCAGAGAGGGAAACTGAACCCAGACAGTCTTACTACAGAGCCCTCACTCCTAACCACCTTTGCCTCAAATGGAATAAATGAGACAATGTGCATGGTCTCCCTGGGGCAGGGGGAGAAGGGGAGCCCTATGCTTCTGGGGGCTGATGTTGTTCTGACGTTAGGAAACCTTGAGTGGTTGGTGAAAACTTAGGGGAGGAGGCTGAAGATGGGTGTAAAGTAACCAGTCTTTTCCTAGCTGGAACTTTCCCCACAGGAGCTCTTGTTTCCTAGAGAATTCTATCTTTTAGGTAAGGAGGGCATGGCCTCACAGTCCTCGGGAGATGTGGTGCTTCTTGGTAGGTCACCATTGTGTTTTTGTAGTTCTATTCTTAATTTCTCCTTAGCGTTTTGCATTTCCACTTCTTTTTCAATCTAGAAGATGGATCTGTCCTATTCATTCCATCCTTATGGCATGGGAGCTGCCATTTGGGAGTTATCATCCAGTGGTGAGGGGACCACACCAACAATCCCAGGGCCCCTCCCCCAGCACACCCTCACCCCGTGGGTGCCTCGTCACAGGGACTGCCTTCCATATACGAATGAGCCAGGTAGGATGGTCTCTCTACAGCCTGCTTCCTGCTGGTTCCTGTCAGGCAGAAAGGTGTACTAGGATTGAGGGGATGTAGGGCAATTCTGACTCACGTGGGGCAGCTCTAGTGAAGGCTCTATGATGGAGCCCCAAGTCATGTCAATGAGTCCAGTGTTGAGTCTGGGGGAAATGGAGAGCTGCACTGAAGAGTAGCCCGGCTCTGGCCCGGGTTGAGGAGAAACAGGACATACAAAGGACAGGTTTACCCGATAACACAATTGTATCTTTGGAAGCTTACAGCACTGTCCTTATAAAAATGCAAAGCAGGTACAAAAGAAATTAATGTCATCTTTAAAAGGTCAGAGCAAGCCTGAACATTGATTTTAAGATGCTTTATCAATTAGAGACCAGAGGTTTTTCCTGATGATATTTATTTCATAAATGTAATTATTTTTCTAAAACATATTAAAATAGAAAACATGTTCTTTTGATCAATTATACAAAGAAAATACCAATATAGTAATAAAAATACTGAAAATATATGAAAAGCACCAGAATATTAGAGAAATTACACTGGCAACAATTCTAGGAATATATTTTTTTTTGCAATTGTACAATAAAGTGCTATTAAATCCAGTCAAAATTAGTGGAAAGATATAAAAACAGTTATGGTATTATGAAATTTGAGGCTAGGTTTAACCGCAGTTGCATTTTTAGGCTACTTTGAGACCAAGCTAATAATATTTTATTAATGTTTTCATGGAAAATCTATTGATTTCCATTCTCAAGCGAAAATCTCGATCTTAATGTTGATCCTTGGTAATTTGGTCATGAATAGGTAATGACAAGATAAAAAATAAAATTATTATCAGAGTACTCAAAGTAATAGTCACACAAAATGTGATAAAATCAAATGAAGACAGAATAAAATCTGATGTAAATAAGTGATTAGTTAAGACAAGAACAGAAGTTTAGATGCCTTTGATCTTATAATTTTCAGTAATCTTGCATAGTCACATTTAGTAGACACACAAACGTTAACAAGATACGTTATTAAATTCAACTGGCCAGACATCAGGGAAGAACATTGTAGTGAGTCCACGTCATTTTCGTAGGAAACATTAAAGGGACACTGTTAGGACAATACACTTCCAATTCTGACCAATGATTTCCCCATTCATTTGCTGAGGAACAAAGAACATACACAAATGCTTTGCGATTAGGTTATATATAGCCGGGGATCTAACATGGAAAGGGAACCGCTGTGCACACACACAGGGAGATACTACGGGGAGTACTTAGGGTGTACTGAAGTCACTTTCACGGCTGGAGTTGGCAAACTGCAACAGAAAAACCCAAATTAAGACCAAGTATCAGACCAGTGTCCTTTTAAGGTTTTATTGCTAGGCCAATTTTGAAGGGACTCTATGAAATCACCACTCTCTACAACTCGACTTTGGAATCCTCAGCTTCTCAAGATGAAAGCCGCCAACCCTACACTTCAGAATAAAAAGTTCTCCAAACGTGGCTCAATCAAAACTCAACATTTATTTAACAGGCAGACTATGTTTTCTTTCAGATAGTTACATGTGAACCGACGAGAACTGAAAATGGCTGTATGAGTGAGAAAACAAACTGATTTCATCCGCCTCTGCCCCTGCAAGTTGTATCATTTTAGGAATTTAGGGACCACCCTCAGGATTACTGTGACGAAGGCAGAGTATCCAGCAAGTGCAACAGCCCTGGTCTAGGAATTCTAGTTTTCATTCCTAAATGGAGAACCGACACTTGAGTTTTGATTTTTTTCCCCCCACGCTTATAGGTACTCCAGTGTTGTGTCAAGTTTCCTTCCTGTGGCCGATGTTCACGCGAAACTGAAATGTGAATGAATTCTGCTCTGCATCTCAAAACCAAGGTTTCAAAGAAATTTTAACTCCTGTCATTTAGAAAAAGGAGGATTAGACCCTTATAAGAAATGCAGCATGGGGGTCAGTGTCCCGCCCCAGTGAGCGATGGGAAACTGCATAAAAAAGACTGGAAGAGAGGACCAAGAAAACCCAAGCAAACTTAGTTTCCCAAATTCTGTCTAAATGTGAGTGTTCATAAAAAAGTCCGAGATTAATAAAAGGCAGACTGTTAAGGAAGACAGATAAGAAACAAAGGCTAAAAGGTGGTTTGGCATTAAATTGTTTCACATACCCAAAGAATATTGACTAGCATCTGGAAGGAATTCTCAAAATTACAAAGTCGTGTTCACAGAAATTAATCTGTATTAAGTACGGGTTTTTTTTTCCAATATACATGTTCTATATACATAGTATAGAAAAGCTAATAAGTTGGCTCAGCTATAATGATTTTGTCATAAAAAAAAGATTACATTTTTTGGCTGTGACAAAGCTTGTTACTTCTACTTTTCAGTCCAGCTAATGTATACATATAATAAAACTTTAGAAGTATTCAAAAGGAAAAAATAAATTATATCTAAAGTATTAATTTACACAATGGCTATGCCTTGACTTTATTAACTATAACTATGATCTCTTATACTCAATTTCTCCAGTGTTTCCTCATTCTAACAGAATTTATTTTCGAGACACGTATTTGTTCCCCTCTAAGTGTTGCACGTTTCCTTTCAGGAAGCACAGATGTGCAAAACTTTTAGTAACATGAAGTTCTGGGTCTTTTTCCAACTAATGAGCGAAAGAGCCATGTTTCTCACTGAACTCCACTTCTTTAAGTGTACAACAAATAGAAGAAAGACATGACAAAAGCAAGCAAGAGCATTGTTAAGGAAAGCAGCAGCTGCTGGAACCAGATACACCGCTGAACTTGGTCTTCAAGCTTCCTATTGCTTTCTAGTAAACGATTGAGCTAAAGAGGGAAAAAAAAGGATGAAAGAAGCATATCAGTAAAACAGTACATTAACCATGTGAACGGCAACTAGGAATATTAGAAATCCAAACATTTACAGGATGGGGTCCGTCTACTCTGAACAGCTGGGAGCAGGAAATGCAATGAGGGATCACATCTGTTTGGTGAACAGACGTGCACCTGCTCACTCTAGTTTTGGAAAGATCTAATTTTCCAGTTGAAAAGGAGCAATGCAGTCACTTTCTGCAAGTACCAAAGCCAGCGAGTCAGAAAGAGAGTCCCTCCAATCTTTTTCGAATTTAGATGGTACCTGTTCCATGAGATCAAATTCTTGGATACTCTCCAAAGCGCCACAGCTCGTCCAAATTAGAATGGCCAGAGCTTTTAAAAAGTTAACACATCTCCAAAAGTAACTCACCAGTCACCATTTCCGATTTGGCTGCCCTTCACAAAGAAAAGAGCATTTCTGTCGCGTCTATGCCAAAGGTTCTCTCTACGTCAGTGGGGAAAAAGTGGATTTCTAACGTTGGTTAGCATTTACAACTTTGTTTTAGGGAGAAAGAACACTTACTTGTAGATAAAGATCTTCACTGGTTTTATCTGACATGTTAAAAGCATTGTCTTTTAATGTAAGGGTGGTTGGTTTACTGCTCTCAACAATATGGCATCTTAACCTGTGGAAATGCAAAGGAAACAGGATTGTAAAAGTAAACTATAAAATGAAGAGTTAAACACAGAAATCTACATAACAGACATGAAAGCACTCATTCTTCTCCCAGTTACACATAAGGCAGCAGCACAGCGTGTATTCATCTTGGAAGGGGAGCAGAATTTGCCACCCCAAGATACACCTCTCTGGCAGAAGGATTATCTTGGGCTCGCTATTTTTTGAGAAACAGCAGACATAAGGAAAGCTTTGAAAATCTTTTGTCAGGGACACTGACATTTATAAAGGTAATCTACACTTGTAAGGGTGTTTTCCTCTGTGTACCAGAGGGGGTGACAAAATCTCTAGAAGGGACCCATCTAAATCTGCTTAAGGACCTTACCCTCGTTTACTGTGATTTTCCTGACCGTCTTCCCTAACTGACTCGCTGATGCCCCAACATCTTGTCTTGGGCCATCTGGGGGAGTTTTATTGTTTCCCTGGGTATGTCCCGTGTATACAGGAGGTATACGTGTTATTCAACTTCTGTTTTCTCCTATTAATCTGTCTTTTATTCCAGGGGGTGGAGGTCTCAGCCAAGAACCTAGCAAGGTAGAGGGAAAATTACTTTTCCTCTCCTACGTTTTGGTAACCTACGATGGGCCCTGCTGGGACACCGTACTCTCTTAGGCACCTACAGATGGGATCCTGGAAAACTGGCAGAAGCCAGTGAAGGGTAACAATTCTTACCTACCAAAGTCAGCTCTTCTAGATCTCACACTAGTGCCAGGTCAAGAGAGGTAAAAATTTCACCTTGTCCCTACCTTTCCAAATTTAGGTTAGCAGAAGAAAAATCGGTCAAATGGGGTTTTCCTTTCCTCTCATTCTATGTATTGAGAGCTTGGGTTTGTAACCAGCAAGAATATTCTTTTTGGTCTCTGCCGGCTGGTGGATGCACAACACACAAGGTGACAGGCAGCATTCTCTCTGTCCGGCCGTGCCAGCTCGCAGGGCAGTTGTCATTTGGGTCCCCAGTCCGTGAGGGGACTTTGTGCTGTCAAAGTCCAATCCAGGAGCACTTCCCTGGTGTCACAGAGCGCAGGGTCTGTGACTGGAGGCCTCGCACATTGTTGTGGGGAACCGGAGCTGCCATTTTCACGACACTGTTCTCCCCACTTGTGGCGAAGAAAGTCTTTGCTTTCTTACGCTCCCTCTCTGAGGGCTTCAGTGTTGGCACCCTCTTTTGGGAAGCCTCTTGGGTCCATGGTTAAGCCATCAAAAGGCCTGTTGGTTTGAGTCGCTATTGAGATTAATATAAGATCCAACTTGTCAATGCCAGATGGTGGATCTTTTACATTTTTAAAGCTTCTATGCTGAAAACACTGTTAGAGAGCTCTCATCCTAAACAATGGTGGTCTTGGTAGCTCTGGAAAGACCAAATTGAAAGGAGAACATGACCCAGTATGGCAGCTGGCCTGAGGAACTTCCTTAGAAAGAAGAGATTATGAAGTTTTCAATCTCTACTTTCAGAAGATAACCACCTACCAAATTTAGAGAAGAGGTGAAAAGATCAGTCCCCATTCACAGGGACTGTGACTGGCTGCTAAGGGTTGTTCTTCTTATCCATGATTATACTGTAGTTATCAGATAAGCCACATGGTCTCCTGGGGAAAACTCTCCTCACCAGGAACATGACCAGAATTTCTCCCAGGCCCTCCTACAAACGTTCAGGAAATGGATCAGCTGCAGGCTGATGTCTGGGGGCTGACAGAAGCAATAGAACAGGTTGTTTTTCCCCCCTGAATTAAATTGGTTCAAGGATGAAGTAAACACTTAGAAAAAGGACAGCATTCAAAGGCCTTTGTTGAATACTTTCTATAAACTTTTTAAAGGCATGCCGCATTAAACCCTAAAGCTCCAGAACATAGAAATCACTTTCTTTCCATCTTAGTTGGAAATCATCTTCCTGATATAGAGCAGACTGAAGAAAATGTAGCTGGATGGGTGGGTCAGTCCCTTGATCCCATTCAGGCTGGAACACAATTATTTGAGGAATTAAAAGCAACCATCTTTGATTTGCAAATCTTTACAAAACCACTAGTGCAACACTGGAAGCAGTTCAAAGTTTGTCTAAGCTTCCCCATCCTAAAACCTACCCTGCCCGCACCCTCTCCCCCAACCCCCCCGCCCCCCAGCTCATCTGCAAATACATGTCAGTATTGTGAAAGATCAGGACATTGGAAACAGAAATGTCCTGGGCTCAAGACAAAGAAGGAAAATAGAAACAGTAATTACTGAAGACCTCTGATAATAGGCAAATGTACCCCAAAACTGCTTAAAAAAAGAAATAACAAACCTTGATACTTTGTGCCTTTCAGGTAAAAATTTTCTATCCTCTAGGACGTGATAGCTAGCTCTTCGAAATATAACTTTAGGGTAAACTTATTCCAACTACCAGAAACGCAATTTGGACCTAAATGTTCTTTTACAAACTAGTGAGTTTTGTGTTATTGTACCTGATTCATGGCTAAAATTTTAGAGCTAGATACCTCAAAAGTCTCTGAGTCTATATGTTTCCGTGTGTCTATATATGTTATGGATGCGTAATATTTTTCTACTTCTGGACGGTATTGCCAAAATTAATTTGTAAAAGCTCTGACTGGCTTAAAGAAAAATAAGCACTTATCAAATTAAGTATTCCTAAAACTCTTAGAAATATAAAAACTAACCCAAGTGTCTTTCAAGTTCCTGTGATGTGGAGTAATCTTAGGTAAAATAAAAGCTGGTCAAGTGTGTTGGTTTAATTAAAATAGGCACGTCTTCAAAGTTATCAATATTAGATATAATGCAGATATGCAACTTTTTTCTACTTGAGTTTACTATTCAAATAGGTTCATGTTTTTAGGTAAGCTGGGTAAGAGTTTTTAGGTGAATTTGTCTATTTAAAAACAGCTTTTCAACTCTGGTAACGAGTTTTGCTAAGTAAAATAGGAAATTATTTCCAAATAAGATAAAATATTGAAACATTACTGAGCACAGGTTTATCTACTTTTGGCTTCTTTTTTTTTTTTTTATTTTTTTTTAAAAATTTTTTTTTTCAACGTTTATTTATTTTTGGGACAGAGAGAGACAGAGCATGAACGGGGGAGGGGCAGAGAGAGAGGGAGACACAGAATCGGAAACAGGCTCCAGGCTCTGAGCCATCAGCCCAGAGCCTGACGCGGGGCTCGAACTCACGGACCGCAAGATCGTGACCTGGCTTTTGGCTTCTTATTACAGACGAACTAAAAATATTTAGTCTGTTAGTAAACATATCTCGTGCCACACTGAAAAACTGTACCATGAGGAAGCATATGCTTCTAGAAATTATGTATCCCTGAATTTGCCAATCTACAGAATGCTGGTGTTAAATGACCACAATTGTTTACTACTTAATTTTCACTAAAAATTATTGTAAGAATTCTGATTCATATGTAATTTACTAGAAATAATGGAGACGACTAACTCCACGTGCAAGGAAAGTAGGATGTGTTTTTAGCTGAGGAAAGGTATGGACACGTATTTTTCTTAAGGGGAATAAAAGTAATTTTATGCTGAATTAAAGCTGGTTATTTCTGAATAGGGAAGAAAGCAAAGAAAACTTCTCTTTGTGTAGTCAAGCTGGCCAAGATGGAATTTGTTACGAGGGTTATAAAAATAAGCTTTCATATCAATAGTGTACTCATGTAAAACTAAAAGCTAACATCTGCTAAAAGGACAACATTTTCTTGGACTATCAGTCAGCTACTGATAAGAGACGGTGAAAGGTTTTTCTTTAGCTTTTAAGTAATGTGCCTAGAAAGCAAAAATTGTGTGTTTTATCAAAATAATTTCCTGTGCTTCATGTTATCTTTATCATCAGGTATTTGATTGCTTAGGAAAATAGTCTTCTAAAGATCAAAAGAGCTAAGTTTTACTCACAACGATGTAACTTTCTGCATTTGCCTTTGACATTTTATTGTTACTATGGTTAAATGGATAATTAAGTATTATTTCATGATGATCTAGGATTCTATTCAGTCAAGTGTCTAAAACCTTCTGACATTTTTGACAAACCCCAACTCAAATTCTAACTGAAGTCTTTTTGACCTTGAACTATCTCTGGAATTTTTCAGAGGGCCTCTGGAATGTATGGAAAGATTAGTTTTATAGCTCTTTTTATAAGAGAGAACAAATCAGGCTTATTTACTATGTTAAGTTACATGGGAAGCACTGTCAAATAAGTAATCCTAAACCTTCTTTAGGTTGTATTTGTATGGATACGTTATTAACATAAGTGTTCCAGAAATTGTATAAAATTCCTAGAAATCGGCTATGTTCTAGTATAACGTTATTGTTTGTAATTCTAGTTATTATCTTACAATGTTGTATGCCACAGAAATAACCAAATTTCCTTGTCAAAAGCCTTATAATGAACTCTCATCAGGTCTGCAACCATGGCCATTTTTAAGTCTGTCATTTATAGAAGCTATTGTTTTACTCGGATCCTTTCGCAAATGTGCTTCTCATGGCAAGGACTCTGACAGGTACTCCAGAAAACAGGTTTCTGATGACTTTAAGATCATAAAACTGAACTGGTAAGAATTTCCAGAATAAAAAAGCTGGTTTCAAGCAGACCAAGAATTAATAACATGGGAGTGAATGAACTGATAATTCTACTGTTTAGGACTTTTTTGAAACACTGCTGGTTCTTTAATGTTTTGTTTTCCAAGGTTTAAGGAAATATTCTACTCTTTTCTCATAAGCTATGATTGACAGAACTATACCTTTGTAAGCAGAATTGAAACAAGTTTTCTCCCTCTGTGGTCCCTCCAGCATTCAGAAACTCAAAGTATTCTTTCATGGAAATACGGGTTTTTTTTTTTGTTTGTTTGTTTGTTTTTACATCAATTCAGTAAGAATCTCTTCTCCTTGGAAGAGGACACAATTGGAAGCATGGTTATATTACTAAGGCTCTGACTTGAATGTCTTATTTGAAAATGGTATGCATAAAAATCAGGTATGAACAGACAGTTTTAAGGGCCTAAGACTGACTTTAGGGACCCATTAAAGCCCCTTGCAAAAAATGGACCTGTAACCTTGCTTACAGGCTTCTGGATGGCCTTACCAGGTAAGGAAGGTCCCTTACCTTGGCAGGCTCAGGGGCTTCAAGAAGAGAGGAATTCATCTAAATCTGACCTTACCTTCATCTAAATCTAAACCTTACCTTTGTTTACTGTGCTTTTCCTGATAACCTCTCATTAGTGGCTCCTCTGCTCCCACACTCACTCCCCCCAGTCTTTCTTCTTTCACTGGAGATGGTATTGAAGGTGGGGAGAGGGAAAATTATTTTTCCTTCCCTACCTCTTCCTACTTTATTTTTCCATGTTTATGTTGAGAGAGCATGAGAGCAAATGGGGGAGGGGTAGAGAGCGGGAGAGAAAGAGAATCCCCAGCAGGTTCCGCGCAGAGCCCTCGAACCCCGGTGAGATCATGACCAGAGTTGAAATCAAGCATTGGGCGTTTTACCAACAGAGCCACCCAGGCGCCCCACTTCTTAGTGCATGTGTAATAACAAGCAATTACAGATACTGCTCAGTAACCTACGGGAAGTTTATTTGATAGGGTAATCAGTTCAACCTACCCGATCTTCCTATTTGAAGGAAACCACCCTTTCTAGGTGGGAGTCAGTGCTTTACTCGGGCCTTCAGTACCAAACCACCAAGTCTCCCTCTTTCTGGGAGGTAAGTGATCCTCTCTTGACTTATAGAAAACCAAACTATGAGCAATTAATTAAAAGAAAAAACCCTGCTTTTGAGGGACTGTTTGCAAAGAACTTGAAATTAATCTCCATCTTTTATACCAGTGTTACATAACCTTTCCATTTGTTTTCAGAGCCATACCTTTGACAAAAATAAACTTGGCTAAAAACACAAAGTGGAGGGTGTCACAACTTGGGAATTTACTCCATCCCAAAACAAGTCAACCCCATCCCGAGCCTTAACCTGTATCTGGGTTCCTTCCTCCTCCCCGAAGAAAGCTGACCTTTACCTTGGATGTAAGTCTTGTCCCTTCAGCCTTGTCAGAAATTTCACTACTGGTGATTTACCCTGTCCAGGTGGCCTCTCTCATTGAAAAACCCATGCCAGACAACTGCTTCATCAACACTGCATTATTCCTTCCTCCAGCAAGACTACTCTCTAGAACAGTCGTACTACCTCCATTTCTTTGGCCCCTGGCTCCTGCCAACTGAAACTGCCCCACCCCCCAGGTGGGCAGTGATGACTTCACTGCCATAAAGCTTGTCTTCCTAGGCCCTCTCCTGTCCTCCTCCCCTCTGACAAGATCACTTTTTGCAGGCTTGTTCACAAAGGTAAATCAGGTCAGGTGGATGCTCTCCTATCTGCCTCTGTCCAGCCTTCTTCCCACCGTGAGTCCTGTCACTCTTCCCTATGTGGTCCAGCCACATGTGTGTTCTTTCAATTGCTTTTGAACAGTTAACTCAACCATGACCGTTACTAGGTTTTCCAGCTTCTCATTTATCAAATGGGATAAAGAACTACTTACCTCCTAGGGTCATTTTAATGACTAAGTGAATAAATAAGAGTAAAGCACTTAAATAAGAGCCCGCTGCCAGCCAGTCCTGTTTTAAGTGTTAACTCAGTATCAGTCTTTCACTTGGGTCTGGTCTACACTGTTTTCCACACAGCCCCCAGAATAATCCTTTAAAAAAAAATAAGCCAGATCACTTCCTGGATCTGCTGAGCACCAACTGTAGTTTCTCCTCTTAACATCAGAAGTCTTCGCTATGGCAATCATTTGCATTCCTACTATCTCTTTGACCTCATCTCCCACCAAGCTGCCCTTAACCTCCTCGCTGTTCCTTACACAGGCCCAGCACACTCCTTTTTCACTTGTGGTTCCCTCTTCCTGGAAAGCACTTTTTCTAGTTCTATATATTATGGCTTACGCACTCTTTTCCTTCAGGGCCTACAAAAGTGCCATCAGAGTGGCCATTCTTTACCCACCAGTCTTTGTTTTGGGGGGCTGTCCTTTGCATTGTGGGATGTACAGCAGCATCCCTAGTCTCTACCTGCTAGATGCCACAGTACCCCAATGCCCACTTGTGACAATGAACAATGTTTCCAGACACTGATGAGTGTCCCTGGGAGGCAGAACTGGCACACTCCAAAAGAAAACCACAACACTCCTCTCTTTTCTCCTTCTCTGTGTATCTTTGCATGCACATACATACTTGTATATGCCCATGCAGTCCCAGGTTTTCCCCCTAATACATCATGGGTACCTTTGTGTATCAGAACAAGAGACTTCCCACACTCTTTTGAATAGCTGCAGAGTACTCCTGCATACATTCAAGTGCGTCTGACCGTTGCTTCACTGGTAACCATTTAGGTTTGTTCTTTCCCATTTTTTCCTAGTACAAATAATGCTGCAACACACACATTCTAGGACACAAAGTGCTCCTATAAAGGGAACGGCCGGGACAGAGAGATCTAGGTTTGTAATTTTGGACACATCCAGATTCTTGCACAGTCCTGTAAGCAAGTCCCTGCTTGCAACCTCCTAGAGAAACTCCAGATCTCATTCCTGGGCACCCCAGAGTCCCACACAGCTCAGGGCCCACACTAGAAGCCTAAGTGTCTGCCAAATGCTAGAAGGAAGAGACACCTGCCTAGTCCATGCAGGCATAGCTCTCTGATTCTTCCCATCACATTTGAGAATCTGTAAGAAGCATACCTATGTTCCATCACTTTGTTTCTGGGAACCTCTTTCCAGAACTGAGTCAATTCTGCTGGGCCCGTGCCAGATGACTGTTCCATTTCTGCAGCCATTATCAGAAAACGGTCTTGGGCAGAGACTGTTAAACCTGCATTCCAAAAGAGTAACTTGTTATATAAACAAGCCTTTACAAAAGGTTGGGCATGTTGGTTTAAGGCATTATTCTAGAAAACAATGGAAAAAGGACAATATGGAACCACCCTAAAAAGGAAAACGTTTTTCTAAAAATTCAATTTCAACAGGCGTCAGTTTAAACAATTTTATGCATTAAAAAACCATTCTAGTGAGACCCATTTACCCATTTCATTTTACACACGAGAAAATGGATGCCTAAGAATGCAGCGACATGACGTGTTGACACTCGGATTTCCGGCTTCTAGTCCAGCTCTACGGACTCACCAACCAGCCCCAGGTACCCCAGCACACCCTCTGAGGCCATCACGTGACAACTCACCCCCGTGGGGAGACACAACTATGTCAACTGAAGCTCCAGGGTCACAACTGCTGTTGCTTGGCTTGACTCTGTATTTTTCTGGAGCAGTTGTTCTCACCTATTTATGAATAGAGTAATCACGTAATCACTAACAGCATAATGATAAAACTGATCTTGGGGGTGGTAAACGGCTTGAAAGTGATTTTTAGAAAACTAGCAGTTAATAATAAAGTCTACAAAACACCCACGGTGGTCAGGCATAGAATGTATCTTTCCCCATCAACAGGAAAACAGTATCTTTATTTTTTAAAATCTCTGCTAATCTTAGAAGTCCAACTGTCACTCAGCCTTCCTTTTCAACAAAACAATCTGTGCAGTATCCTATCTGGCAATTGCCTAAATTTAATAACACAAATTCTAAAAAACCGTATTAGGACTTGTTATAATAGCGTTGTCCAATTAAAAACACTAGAAAATCAAAGAAAATATCCTAGTGGTCCAATCTAAATTAAATAGATGATTTAAGGAAATAATTTCTACAATATGGGGCAGTGGCAGACTCGGTCATTAGGTTAGTATCCAGCATAAACTACATTCCAAACTATATCACACTTGGGGGAAAATGCACTCTTGATTTTATAGTTTTATTTTTTTTGCTATTATGAATTATTTATATGATGAAGAGTGATTTTCCTTGAGTTTTTATTTACAACAAACATTAAAGCCTGAGATTAATTTGGACATTAGCCTATTACGGCTCATTAAAGATTGAGATACAGATCCCAGGGAAAATTTTAGATAAGCTATGCCATGTGGTTAAAACTAGAAGGCAGCTTATCATGCCTAAAAATATCATAAATAAAAACACTGCACAAGTTACAAATCCTCAGTCTTTCGATTAAAATGACTGAAATCACTTCCCATATCCAATTTCCACATATAATCTATTAGATCTTTCAGATACTTACCTTAAACGCCACGATGTTTTTAGTTACATTTGTCAACACTATTAAAGTTTTCTTCTCTCCAGATTCTGTACTTCCAAAATACAGTTCTTCTGCTGGGCTAGGTGGTGACAAAAACATAAGGCATTTGTGTTATTCAGAATAAATGACAATCTAATCATTAGCTGGAAGAAAAGCATTTAATATTATATGCTCATTTGTATAAAGAGATTTCATCAAAAAAAAAAAACCCTACAAAACAATTACCTAATATAGTTTGTGTTTTCATCTTACTAATTGATTGCATGCTACTTAAAAGTCCTATGGTTGGCTTCCCCAAGATCAAAAGCTAAATAGAAAAGGACAGAAGAAAGAATAGGATGATTCTGAATTAGCCTATAATCAGCACCATCTAAAGGTGCATTTAAACTCTTTGGAAGGTTACACATAATAAAAACAGAGAAGAAGCTGGCACTTCAACTTTAATTACAAACAGAATAGAATGGGGCATAATTTTATACACCAACAGAGAAAAGTCTAACGTAAAATGAACGATCATCAGGGAGGTCTTGAAGTAACAGACTAAGGTCTTACTATGTAAAGGCTTTTTCTAAGTAATATGGAATACAAAAAACAAAATTTGGGGTGGGAAATATTTGTCAAACAGTAAAAGCAGTGAGCCTCAAAATACAAATTTTACTACTGTCACTGTAGAGCATGTGAACTAAAAGACTAAAGCAACGTTTTATGTAGTTTTTATTTTTTTAATGTTTATTTTTGAGAGAGACAGAGTGCGAATGGGGGAGGGGCAGAGAGAGGGGGAGACACAGAATTGGAAGCAGGGTCCAGGCTCTGAGTTGTTAGCACAGAGCCCCAAGTGGGGCTCGAATTCACGAGCTGTGAGATCCTGACCTGAGAAGTCGGACGCTTAACCGACTGAGCCACCCAGGTGCCCCATTGTGTAGTTAAATTTTTTTTTAATGTTTTATTTTTGAGAGAGAGTGCGAGCGGGGGAGGGGCAGACAGGGAGTCACAGAATCTGAAGCAGGCTCCAATCTTTCAGCACAGAGCCCGATGCAGGGCTCGAACTCACGAACCGTGAGATCATGACCTGAGCCGAAGTCAGACGGTCAACCAACGGAGCCACCCAGCAGCCCCTCCAATTGTGTAGTTTAGTTACATGAGTCAAACTGTATCAGGTGCCTCCAAACACTGGGTAGAAGAGTGTTTTTGTTTTAGATAAAAAGGTGAATTGTTCAGACTGTCCTTGACCATAAACGTAAGTAGATTCATTTTATATCAGGAATGTTGGCATATCAGAGATTCATTTGGAGAACACATATTTTTAAGGACATGCTCTCCTAGGAGGGCTCTGCTCATCTTTGGACAAGACAGATTAGCACAGCTGCTGGCTTACTTTTAGAGCCCATCTGAAATATAACACAGAAAAGACCAGAAGGTTATGAATCTCAGAAGTACTCTCAATAACCACGAGACTGACGGGAGACAGCCGCTATTGGGGCACCTGTGCCTGGAGGAGAGAGAGGTGCTGTGACTTTCCTGGGGGCAGAGGCAGGGGATGCTGAGCCCAGACCACAGCCCTGGAAGCTGCCCTGCCCTACCCTACCCTACCCTGGCCCTCTCCCTGGCCAGCTCTTGAAGCTGACCCTCGACATTCATGAGCCAAGATCTAGGGTGTCCACAAGCCTCCAGTGAAAAGTGTGAAACTTCTAAACCATTATAGGGAAAGAAGAGAGACAAACTCCACAGGGGGGAAATGGCAAAGAAAACCCATGACCAGCAGAATATACATGTGGGACCCACCCCCACCCCCCACCCAGAAATACACAGATGGTTGAGATAATCCAAATATAATAGTAATCCCAATGTATATAAACAAATCAGTCTTCTCAATTAGAGTATCAGTTTTTTTAAAAGTCTGACTGTACCGGTCATAAGAGTCATACCTAAAACAGTTACACAGAAAAATTTCAACTATGGGACAGAAAATGATACATCAGGTCATCACCAAAGTTGGCATAGCAGTATTAACATAAGGCCATATAAATTTATCAACTAAAAGCATCATTAATGAGAAAGAGATCTTTATGTAATGATAATTACAAACAATCCTGAATCTCAGGCTGAGTAACCTAGAAACAAAAATAGAGATGTGCTGAAATCGGGCTTTGGTAAAAGACAAAAACAAAACAACCCCCCCTCCTATTTTTCTAGTCCAGCTTTAGCTTTTAGAAGGTCAAACTGATAAGTGCTTAGTTCACTGTCATCTCTGGCATCCTCAAAGTTGTCCAAGTCAAACACTATCAGTAAAATGAGAAAAATATATGTCATTCAGATTAACTGTTAATATATGAATATTCACTTTTATTACCTAATGTGAAATGAGGGCCCTTTAAACACACTTAATGGAATAACAAAAAGGTAGCTAACAATGTCTACTCTGTCTGGAAACCAAGGTGAGTCTTTGGATAACCTTTCATTAGAAAACTTGTGTACTGTTTTTCAAAATGTGGAAATAAATACATTTTCCCTCAAGATGATCAAGACAGATTATTAAAAAAAGCATAGCTAATAAAATCCTCAACTATGATTACCTGATGTGTAGTAAGGGCCCTTTAAACACACTCAATGGTTTTTTGAAAGCTTTCATTTTGGAATCAACCTTTTCATTTTCCTCTGCTTTGGAAGTATGTTCGGTAACGTTAATCTAAAGGCCAAAAAAATATGAAGAAAGAAAGATAAATTTAGTTTCATACTGACAGCTGGGCAGTTCATTAGGTGAAAAAGTAAACACAGTGATTCAATCCAAATTATAATCTTTAACATAAGCTTATTACACCTAAATTACGTATTTGACATATATTAACATGACCATTAACATATACTTGGATGCCTACGACAGATAAGTCACTACAGAAAATGTAACATGGGCTTTCCCTTAGGGTCTTTAAATCTGTTCTAAATTATAACACTTATCCCTCTATCAAGCCCCTGATGACTCATAAAAAGATAACTAAGTGCTCCTTCCAAAACTGAAATAGAGGAAGTAGATAAAAGGCTTTAAACTACTTTTATCCGATAAAAAATAGTTTTGATAACACAATTCCTAAGTGCATTTTGCCAATTTTTATACCAATGCATGAAATCGGCTTTGTCATACACCATAATGACACTTCTGGTTAGCCAGTGACCTCCTTCCTCTTTCTTTCCACAGACAAAATGTTGAAGGACAGGAAGTTAAATGAATTACCCAAAATCACATAGCTAGCTAGTTGCAGAACGGCGGACAGGCCACAGCTTTTGACTCATATTCATTCTATTGTTAAGATTACCTTTTTTAGAAGAGCTGTTTGTTCTTCACTGGAAATTGTTTCCAAGGTTTCTTTGCCATCACTCTCTAGATCTTCTTTACTTGAAGCTTCATCTTCACTGGCAATAGGTCCATTTTCACACAATGGTGTCTGGAAATCATCATCTACTAGTGGTGGGTAGCTATACTTGAAAGGATCCTAAGAGAAAGGAATCGTATAACAGCCTGCTGAGAGGTGGGCAGACAAATAATTCTCTCGAGTTAAAAATCCACTCTCCGGGCCAACAAGCAAACCAACACAAAAAAACAGACTTAATTAGATAGTGAATTTTTTTTTTTTAAAAGGAAGCATTTCAAAACACAAGGGGAAAGGGCAACAAGTGGTGTGGGCAACTGATTAGCCATCTATAAAAAAACCAAGTTGGATCTTGAGCTCATTCTTTGTGCCAAAAAGAATTTCGGAGGAATAAAAACTTGAAAGTATGTATTTTTTTAATGTTTATTATTTTTTTAGTAAGCTCTACACCCAACATGGGGTTCGAAACCATGACGTTGAGATCAAGAGTCACCTACTCTTCCAATGGAGTCAGCCAGGTGCTCTGAAAGTGTAATTTTAAAAAACCATATAAGCTTAAAACAACAACAACAACAACAACAACAACAACAAC